GCGTGAGGGGAGGGGGAAAGGAGAATGGAGTGGTACAAAGGCGAACTACCTATTATGGATCGATGAGGACGCAAAACTAACCTTCGCGACGGATTTCATCAGTATCTGATCGTTTTTCTACTTCCTCTTGCTAGGAATCATAACAAAAACACCGAGGAATGTCAAAGGTCCCATGGCATTCACCTCTACAGAAAAAAACGGTCTGAAAGACAGATTGCTTATTGAAAGAAAGCCTATTGATTCCCTAGTGAACGGCATATGGGAAAATCGGCATATGTCTAAAGAAAGGTAAATGCAATACAAGACAATGGAATTAGGACCAAGACGGGCGACTGTGGGGAAGGCAACCGCAACGAATGTGCCTGAGAACCATGAGAAGACTGGAACTTATTGAGTCGGTCAGTTCAAAAATCAGATCATCGAGTGTTTACGATCTATGTTGTTAACCTGATAAAATAATCTTTCAAACCATTCAAAAAATAGGTCTCCGGCGCCAGTTGACCTCGTTACTGGGTTAGGCCCCGTATTCTACTTCTTTTCTGAACCGCTGTTCCATTTCAGATGCGTATGTGGCATATACAATGACTGCGGCGACAAGTCGATTTTCGAGCTAGAGCATTATCCTACAGACGGGTCTGATATCAATCAACCGACCTGAGAAGGACGGACGGCTTGGGCGAGTGTCAGTCTGGACTTCGATCTCGGATCATGCACGTATGATAGTGCGCCACTTGTCACTATGCCACCTTTGACCTTTTTTATCATTTTTTTTATCGAGATACACTACAGGAGTGGCCACATAACTTATGCGCGGAAATTCACTGGTAGTGGAACTGTTCCATGTTTTGGGAAAAGGAGGGAGGATCAAAAAAGAAGGAAGGAAAGAATCTTATGAGAAGAGCTTATTCGCCCCTAAGGGGCTAGTCCAAGGAATTTGTGGTGCCGAAGCCGTTGTCTAAAAGGTTGTTGTTGTGTGTTATCGTCCACAAGGAATTGTTGATATTGCTTTTGTAATGAATTTGCAACACATGCTTTCCCTCACAGATCCTTTCAAACTCTACTTTTCTTTATAAGGTGTTCAGTTCCCTGACCTCACACTTGTGAGATGGTGCCGAAAGTTAGTTTATCATCTCTGCGACTTGGAGTCTTGCGTTTCTGTAATAATCGTCATGTCTCCCAGCCTTTTCGTTGTTTTCGTTGCCCTGACGATGTCGGTGCTTCTTTTCATTGACACTGAAAATTCCAATCCCAATCTCCAGATAAATGCAGAAAATGTGCAGATACTAGGACCTACAACCCTTTCCCGTAAGTTTATGTAAGCGTCCTACCCTCGAGTACGCTCAGGAGATGTCGGAACCCAGCAATCAAATGGAGCAAAGAAGAAGTTTTTCGAACTGCCTTCTAAGGGCTTTCATAATGGACTCTCATCACGAAGACGTTAAGTTTGTGCTCTTTTTTTAGAAGANGCACGGTGGAGATTGCTTCCTAGAACGCCTTTGCAACACATTCTCTCCCACACAGACCTTTTCAGACCCCGAGTTCATACTCATCGTCAGGAACCCTATTACTCAACATCAGTGATGACTGTAATGGAACGGACCTACATTTCCTCTCGAACAGGAACTTTTGCAGGGAGCAACAATCTATTGTCGGTGATGATCGTTGACTGGTGATCATCGAAACATCTCTTTGTGATGGTCCATTCAACTCAGATGTCAAACGATGGTTATAAGTTCATACTTAGAGTTTTACTTCAATTCCTCGTAGGAGAAATCTGATATGGGGGTTCAATTTGACAGGCATCCATAGTTAGCTCAAACTTTATCGTCCAACAAGTAGCAGATTATTATCTACAAACGACATCGATATTGAACGATAACGATAGTGATATCTTTACACCCTTTCCTGCGAAGGTGTTCGCGAAGTATAACCAAATGGTGATGCGTTGCCGATTAGGCTCAGTCGCCTATCGTCGCTTGCCCTTTTAGGCCGCCCAGAACTCAAAACTACCCTCTAAAGTGCTAACATATTTCGCAGTAACAGTTTTGGTTCTAAATAGGAGAAATTCGAATTCTATTAAAAAGTGGTCAGGAATAATGAGGCAACTCAGTGCATCCGGTTATAAGAAATGTTCTTTTTTGCGATATACTAGTCATCAACGTGTGGTGCACTTTTGTAATTTGAAAAATGGTAGGTGGAATCTATGATGGACAGCATCGTAGAAAGTATAGTATGAGTAATAGTCGCAGTAGAAGTCGTCTTGTGAAGGAGACCTGATTGGAGGGGAATGATTGGACATTTTGAAAAGTTATGCAGAATCAGAGCTTTTATTCGAGCTCATGAATAAGGAACGATTTGCCTGTACTGCGCTTTACGCGTCGTACTGCGCTATACTACACCGTAGTGTACTGTACTGTACCGTACTTTACTGTAATGCGCATCTTTGAGGCTTATTTGTTAGACGGTTTGAGTTCCTCAGGTCGTTTCGAACCACCTCAGCGAGTGTACCTCCGTCCTTCCTGTGTGATGGGTTTCCACAGAACCTATGCTGTTTTCGTTTATGTTTACTCGAAGAGGGCAGATGAGCATCTTTTCAAGCTCTTCCCTTTAGATGTAGAGTATTTCTGTAGGTGGTTCAGAAGTCCCTAAGATGAACTCGTATTGACTTTGCTCTTAGTAGCCTATAGTCTAGCGGAAGAAAGGAATCGTGTTCTCGGTCGAAAAGCGAAGCAGGCAAAGGCTGAACCAGTTGGCTGCAGCGAAGTCATGCACATTGTGTGTTAGCAGGTCTTCTTATCATAAATCTTATTTTATCGCTTTGATTGTGAAGTGGTAGAGCCAGGTACGGTCTGGAAATCAAGTATTGGACCAAACTTTGCTTGGTTCAGTCAAGCTCTACGCTCTTCCAAGATCAGTTAGGTCCTACCAGACTGGTTCAGAAGAACGCACTACTTTCAGATCAACTGAATAGACTAAACGCATACTCGAAAAATTTCCATGATTCGAATGAAAGTTGCACGCTCGATGAAAATAACGATCGCATCGCGACTCGATTCCTGCCCACACCAACCAGGGCCTCCATCTTTCTGGGGTCCTTTAAATGCTACCAGATTCGTCTGTTAGAGCAAACCTGCCACGTACATCGGCTAGCCACCACAGGCCCTTGCCTAGGTAAGTACTCATTCGAATCCCCACTATAGTTCAGTGTGATTTCGAACACGGATAAATTCCCTACGAATAGGATTGAGTTGAAAAACTTTGGGAGACCGGCGTTGATTATTTCTTATTGGGATGTTTCACATTGCTTTCTACCAAAAACTTCCCTTCGCATATCAGCAGCATAATCAGTCGTCAAATTCACGAATGGCCTACCTAAGGAATGTCGTCCAATTCACTCTTTCGTTAGTCCAAATGCGATTTCACTTGCATGCCATCTTTTTCGGGTCTGAATCATCATCATCCGCGCAAGACCGTCTTTTTGTGATCATGTCATTGAGTGACTCTTTTATGAAAACAGCTGTGTATGAATGAGAGTAAAGACATGAAATATTATCATTTCAAAGTGCATTCTAATATAGGAGGTCCAGCTGTTCTGAAACGCCTTAGCCATTAATGCCATAATCAGGGAAGAACGATGATAGGGTATCGAACTGGTGGATCTCCGAGAATACGCCCCCAAATGTGTCGGAACTATGGAGTATTTAAAACTGCGCACTTCCCTTTCCCTTCCCTTCCAGGTTGGGGAAAAACATTCACTAATTTTGCACTTTTGTCACCGCTGTCATGGTCATCAATCGGGCATACTGCAAATTTGTGGAACAGAGGAAGGAGATTGTCGTAATAGCAACGGACCAGAGATTAGAAAGAATTTTGCTGCAGAACAACTTTTGCTTGAAGGCCTTTCTATGAGAACCAACAGGGTGCTTTGCGGAAGTGGCGCTTTTATTGAAGGGAGCCGATGTAAAGCCCTAGATCCTTCACTCTTGCTTGGAAGATCGACTCCCATTCAGAATTGTGGCCTTTGGATGCCACCCATGTTTTGAACTACTGCGACTAGCAGACTTACAAGCCAGTAGTTTCAACCTCCCAAACAAGCCTACTTGTCACTACACCAACAGTCTACATAATTTGATACTCCAGCACAGAAGAGTAATAGTGTAAGCTTATAATCATCCGCCCAAGACATCCATGTGCGGATGATGGTTTTAGCAGAATTGGCAGGTATTCNCCCGGCAGGGTGCAGCAATAGCCCGGGAGAAGGCGGTATCTTGTACAAGTTACTTTTTCTTTAATGACGCTTTCTTTTACTACTACAAAACCGATTTGGAGAAATCTTGCAGGAAGCATCCCGAAACCAGTTTACCTTGAAGTTGAATGAGTTTTATGAGGTTTAGGAAAATGCTTGGCTTGCACCGCTATGACATCGGCTCTATTCATTGCCCTAAACATTAGCCTAGTAAAAGTTATTACCTTGGTTGCGATAGTCCATTCAAATTTTAGTTATTGCCCAGTTCTTTAAAGGTGCTGATGCCACTGGTACTTTCTGCTAAGGGACGGAGACCGCCGAAGTCTTTATGGTAGGGCCTTCTGGGTGCTGTGCACTTATCTGTAGGTAAAAGTACATGCAAATTCGTGCACGTGCAGTATGCTTCGGTTGGTCGGAAAGAGTTAATTCACAAGTTACTATACGAGAAAGTTAGTAAACAAGAACCTTCACCGTCAGCAATTTATGATTACTTATCGGTTCCACTTATTTCACTTTGCACTTTAAGGAAATTTCCCGAATTTCATCCTGATCTGCAGTGTATGGCGTTTATGAGAAACAACGAAGTTCCGCTAGAGCTAGGTTGGGAACGCCTTCGTGCAAACGCAAACTCATCAGCAAGCATCCGGTTTATCAGCAACACTGTAGATCGTTGGAATGCTGCAATAACTGGCTAGCTGAGCCTCTTTGTCTTGCTTACTTTACCTATTGAAAATTTCAGTAATTTCTGTTGTAGATGATGTTGCAGTGGGTAAAATGAATTCATTCTTATTTCAAAATGTTTTTATAAAATAATTCACAGTCTGTAGATTCCTCAACTGTTTTGTTCGAAGAAAATGTGCGTTCAATGGATCGTAAATCTCCGAAGAACACAATGGAGTACGTTGTTGAGTAAGAATCCAGTAGCGACTTTACTCATGCATAAAATTTGTCCTGGTTCCTTGAATGATTTCCACTTTCTCTTCAAATTATGCAGAAAATGCCACTTTTCAAAATCCCACATTTTTCTGAAAACGTGCAACGACAACTCTCCAGAAACGGCTAATCATACAATGCCCCATGTGTCCATGGTTATCCTGTGCGAAAGAATACGCTGGTTGTCTAAGTTCAAGATGTTCCTTTCTATCATAAAGTATGCACACAATGCTATCAACTTGTTCTTTACTTCTGTATAACGGGCTTGTTTCTAACGGTAGGACATGCTTTCCATTTTCCTAGAGGTTCATGAAGTTGTGGCGAAGAATAATGACCTAAATTTTGAGTAAACCCGAACCAGAACGTAATATTGCTCAGGTTGTCTAGTTGGGTCTAGTTAAATGGGAAAATGCAATGAACAAAATGTTAGGAGCAAGAGGTATAGTTGGGAATTAAAAACAGTAATAAGTTTAAGGCTCTCTCCGCTGAATTGTATGCTGTTTGAGGGTGTTCTTGGCGAACCGGTTGCGGAACATGCGTGACCGCATTCGTGGTAAAGAACATTGTGTGGATGAGCGACTCTCAAAACACTGAATGTAGCACATCTGACCAAAAAATTGTCTGGAACAACCGCGAAGGTCACAGAGAATCCCCAATAAAAGCAGAGAGAAAGAGACTGAGACTAGAACTGTATCAGAGGGGTATCACGCCGTCGGAATGCTTTTACGCGCTATCACACTGGTAAGCTTATATTTAAGTATTGCACTCAATAATAGTATTTAGTCTGGTATAAGCCCTTTTGACAAAAAACTTGTAAGAGGTAATTTAAGAAAAAAATTTTATTTACAAATAGTGGCACGCTTCAAATGATTTCATGGCCTCTCTTTAAATTAATTTGATTTCATGTTGAAAGACTCTTCTGCCATTTTCCCTGACACCGTTATTTCTACTGATTTCAATAATTCGTTTGATTTTGGTTGTTTATAGTTAGCACAGTTTTACCGGTAAAACTTACCAAATATCATTTGCTAAGGATATTTGCATTTTCTATCTCTCATTCTATCGTGTTGACGCCGCTCTTTATCCATTTCCACAATCTCCAGAGCAACCCGTAGAGTTGTAACCAAATTTGAAACATTACCAGTGTAGGGCTTCAGTTTCCGTCGTCTTTCCGCTCTTGTAGAGAATTCTCACACTCAATTGAATGGTCCAATATATGGAACCAGTGCATCGCTATTGGGTAAATAAGTTGCATACTTTTCCATTTTTCATATTTTCTACTTGATTTTATTCATTAAGAGGGTAAATGCTGGTGGGAGTAAAATGTTTTTGCTTTCAAATCTTCCCCTATCGCGTAATATACGCTCCTACAGCTAAATGATTTCAGTCAGTATTGGTCACCTTTCTGTTAGGGCTACAAATTGTGGTCTTGGCAAGTGAGTGATTATTCAGTTTCATGAAAAAATATTCAATAACAAAACCTTGTTATTTCAGTCAATTGTCCAGATAGTAAAGGAGGTCTGAGTAGTGCACAACGAACAGCAGTATTAGATTCTATAAACGATGTTCGACGAAAAGTGGCCAAAGGAAATCCTCAATTGCTGCATCCGGAAGCTCCAACAGCAACGAAGATGAACAAATTGGTATGATCTTTAGCTTTTGAATGCTTTGGTTGCGGTTTTTCATTACGTTTGTTTCAAGTAGCAAAATACTACAAAGTCCTGACCCTATCAGGGGGAAATATCTGCACGAAATTTCAAAATGGTCCCAAATTTTTCTAGACTACTTTGAAGTTCCTTTAGGAATAATATGCCTGAGCCACGTCTCGGTGAGCTTCAACAGCGGATTGGCCAAATTCAAGTAATTATAAAGTAGGTGTCGGGCGTGGAGGGACAGTCAAGATATTAGAGGATAAATTAAGCAAGGAAGGGAGAGCAGGGTGTTGTGAAAGTGCATGGGTAGTGTCCTTATATAGCAATTTCATAGTAACCTCCAAAACGTCTGAAAAAATCACACAGATTGCGAATTATACGAAATAATCCACTTCACGATTGGCCTATAGATAAGTTTCAAGTATTTTTGGCAGGAAGTCGTAATCCTGCAGAACACGGGGTAATTGCATTTTTCTAAAGTTATTCATTCCGAACGTACACTTCAGTAACCTCTTCATTGCACTGTTCTGATGTGTTTTGGGCGTCTCAAAGCCTTACAGCTTTTGTACATATTTTCCCACCATTTTCTTTGGGTCTTGACTGGAAATGGAGAGTGATGTGCAGGACTGTTGCACAACTCGTGATGAAGTGATGAAATACCATCGAGCCCACTCGTCAGAAGAAAGTGGCGGGAAAATACTGCAGGAAAATTCACTTATTATTTTATTTTGTTTATTATTTTTGGGACACCCCAATATTATAATTTCGACAAGGAGAAAAAAATCCCTCTCCTTCTCCGGCAGGACGAGATCTTCTTGCTTTTTCTGCTGAGAAGACTTGAGTTTTGGAAGGCCAGTATTGGCGGCGGCTTCGGCTTGAACTTCAGGCATAAAAAATTCTCGCGTTTTTTTTTCTGTTACATATCTTTGAAGAAAC